ACTCGCCAGCCGCTCCCGGCTTTTGGGCTCAACGCCGCCGCTCGGAGCTGGCCGCCGTCCCCAGGCGCGCATATGTTCCTGGGCGAAACGTATATAAACAGGCGCGTGTGCGTGGGGGAGAGAGATGTGTACGGGGTTTGATTTATACGTAATGGCGCGTATAAAGCTTTTCAAGGTGGCTGCGATGTAAAAAGTAATGACTTTATTACCCCTGAAAGGTTCTGCGGTTCGCAGCTCGCAGTCCTCTGAATTACAATTCATTACGCAGTTGTGCGCGCTCCCAAGCCAGCCCGCATCAGGATCCCTCTCCCTGGTTATTCCCAATAAATAACAGGCAACATTTCATCGATTTTCCTTAAAAAAAAATCATAGCAAATTAAGCACTTAGTTACAACTAAATCTCGTTTATTATCGTACCGCACTTGAGATTCCGGAGGTGACTTCCCAGGCAGCATCTTAAAACCTACAGTCGGGAGCTAATTTTACAGATGCTTTTATGAATGGCAGCGAGGATCTTCCTACCATTAGCATGCCCTTAAATTCCAGCACCCTAAAACGCCTCGAATGAAATGGAAACTCACTGCCTTAAACCCAAGATTTTACCCGGGCTGGATAATTATTAATATTAGCATTTGATCGCAATAGCGCGGTGCTTCCCCCCCCCAGCCCCCCCGCTTCGCATTGTCATGTGATTGGGGGGAGATAACAAACCTCAAGAAAGAAAAGGAGTCAGAAGACATTTTTAACACGGCATAACCGCAGATTAATAATGCAGGTGGGTTTGTATTTTATCGTCTTTTTAGGGGAAGGGAACGAGGCTGTTTAACGAGCAGTGGTGGACACAAAGTAACTATATTTACAATCCTTGATGTGGCTTTTGGTGGGGAATAAATTATGACAATATTAAAATTATTTTCTGGCAGCCCAGTTAACTGCGTTGGGGACCGTAAAGCCCTTACTGATTCCATTTATGCCTTCTAATTACGGTCCACGGGCTTTCTCTAAACCCTTTGGTGTATATTGTGTGTAAACTTTTAGCTAATAGACCTTTTTTGAATGGAGGGACTTTTCTCGGTACTTCCTGCAGTATATATTCTGTCTCTGATCTCTGTATTTAATGGCCAAGTCCTGGTTTATGCTTTATAATGTGTTGACAAGTTTTCTAACAGACTTTCTGAAATAATGCACATATATTCACGTCGGTTAGAAACTCCACAGTATTTTTAGAGTCGAGTAGATCTATATCCTAATGCACTGAGAGCGAGTGTAAATCATAGAGGATTTCATAGCCCTTTCAGTAGTTTTCTGTATGAAGTATGAGCAGCGTGGCCTCCAGACGTAACCTTTTAGAAAAAAAGACAGTGCTTTTATTTTATGGTGTAAAGTGCTTTTAGCTTCAGGGCTCCGAACGTGAATGTGGTCAACAAACAGCTCTTGCGAGGGACTTTGCTACAGCCTCAGCCCCAGCGCCAGGGCGCTGCCTTTGTGATGCG